GTGTGTAGTGTGTAAGTGTGTAAGTGTGTAACTGTGTAAGTGTGTAAGTGTGTAAGTGTGTAAGTGTGTACGTGTGTAAGTGTGTAAGTGTGTAACTGTGCAAGTGTGTAAGTGTGTAAGTGTGTAACTGTGTAAGTGTGTAAGTGTGTAACTGTGGAACTGTGTAAGTGTGTAAGTGTGTAAGTTTGTAACCGTGTTAAGTGTGTAAGTGTGTAACTGTGTAACTGTGAAAGTGTGTAAGTGTGTCAGTGTGTAAGTGTGTAAGTGTGTAGCTGTGCAAGTGTGCAAGTGTGTAACTGTGTAACTGTGAAACTGTGTAACTGTGTAACTGTAACTGTATAACTGTGTCTTGTGTAACTGTGTAACTGCGTAACTGTGTAACTGTGTAAGTGTGAAGTGTGTAAGCGTGTAAGTGTGTAACTGTGTAACTGTGTAACTGTGTAACTGTGTAACTGTGCAACTGTGTAACTGTGTAAATGTATAACTGCGTATTTGTGTAACTGTGTAACTGTGTAACTGTGTAAGTGTGAAGTGTGTACGCGTGTAAGTGTGTAACTGTGTAAGTGTGTAAGTGTGTAACTGTGGAACTGTGTAAGTGTGTAAGTGTGTAAGTTTGTAACCGTGTTAAGTGTGTAAGTGTGTAACTGTGTAACTGTGAAAGTGTGTAAGTGTGTCAGTGTGTAAGTGTGTAAGTGTGTAGCTGTGCAAGTGTGCAAGTGTGTAAGTGTGTAAGTGTGTAACTGCGTAACTGTGTAAGTGTGTAACACTGTAACTGTGCAAGTGTGTAAGTGTGTAACTGTGTAAGTGTGTAACTGTGTAAGTGTGAAGTGTGTAAGCGTGTAAGTGTGTAACTGTGTAACTGTGTCACTGTGTAACTGTGTAACTGTGCAACTGTGTAACTGTGTAAATGTATACTGTGTGTAACTGTGTAAGTGTAACTGTAAGTGTGTAAGCGTGTAAGTGTGTAACTGTGTAAGTGTGTAAGTGTGTAACTGTGGAACTGTGTAAGTGTGTAAGTGTGTAAGTTTGTAACCGTGTTAAGTGTGTAAGTGTGTAACTGTGTAACTGTGAAAGTGTGTCAGTGTGTAAGTGTGTAGGTGTGTAAGTGTGTAGCTGTGCAAGTGTGCAAGTGTGTAAGTGTGTAACTGTGGAACTGTGTAAGTGTGTAAGTGTGTAAGTTTGTAACCGTGTTAAGTGTGTAAGTGTGTAACTGTGTAACTGTGAAAGTGTGTCAGTGTGTAAGTGTGTAGGTGTGTAAGTGTGTAGCTGTGCAAGTGTGCAAGTGTGTAAGTGTGTAACTGTGGAACTGTGTAAGTGTGTAAGTGTGTAAGTTTGTAACCGTGTTAAGTGTGTAAGTGTGTAACTGTGTAACTGTGTAACTGTGTAAGTAACTGAGAGAGATATTTGGACTTAAATGTGTTGTGGAATGAGTGTTTCTTTGAATAGGGGCTAGCATTGGAGCGCCGGGGGCCTGTGGCACAATGGCAGCGCATCTTGTGCTGCGGTGGTGCCGCGCCAAGGAGGTTGTGGGTTCAAATCCCACCAGGTCCCCCATGCTACTTTAACTCCCCCGTTTCTTGAAAATGCAAAGAGGTCCCTGCAGACAGATTCTTCTTTTAAAGAAGAGCGCCTGACAACCCACATGGCTGGAATGCAAACGCTTTCAAAGACCACTTGGCACAGGTAGCCAGTTGGTTGGTGCCTCTGGAATGCCAAAGTTGCCTTCTTGGATGGGCTTCCTGTTTGAAAAGGTTTTGGAGAGGAAGCTTGAGACTCGAAGGCACGCTTGCAACCAAGAATCGACCTTCTCACCTTTTAGTTTCCACATTTTGGGTGTGGCGAAATTCCGGCACCGCTTAAGAAGGGAGGGCCATTTTTTTGGATTTTGTCCTTTTTTGTTTAAAGGGTTTGTTGTTTTTCAGGGCGGCTTTTGTGGCTTTGGTGGCTTTGGATTTCTGCATCCTCAGCATCACCTCGGTAACTGGCTTTTTGGCTTTTGTGGCTTTTGCCGCGTTTTTGCGGCTTTTGTGGCTTTTGCTTTCGCATCCTCATCATCAATAAGCTTCGGTGGTTTTTTTTAATATTACGTTATATTATTTTTGTGCCTTTGGCAAGGTTGTTGCGGCTTGGCTTGTAGATTTTTTCTGAATCAGTTGCACCGGATAGTTGCACCGATTGTAAGAGATAGCACCCCTTGCTGAATAATCATTGCTTCGATCATCATGGAAAGGGGCTGCCCCCCCCCCCCCCACAACCCCCCGCTGGTTTTCAGATTTGTTTGTTACATTATATGCATTGCATTCCATAACCCCCCGGGTGTGTATTTATTATATATTTGTTTTTTGTTTCATTACATTACATTACATTACATTTGTACATGCAGAAATGGATGAATACATTACATACATATGCACACACACATATATACATACATACGTTTGTACATACATACATACAGACATACAGACATTGATACATACATACATAGCATAGCATAACATAACATAGCATACATACATACACACACACACATACATACATACATACATACATGCATGCATGCATGCATGCATGCATGCATGCATGCATGCATGCATGCATGCATACATACATACATACAATACATTGTGTACATGCATGAAGGGACGCACGGTCAAACAGCCAACTGGTGATGCTGGAGGTGTTGCTGTTGATGCCCAAGGTGTGGCTCGTGGTGCTAAGGATGTGACGTGATGCCGGGGATGTGCGACCGTGCTGGTGTGAAAGCATGCATTTTGACCGAAACAAACAACACATCCTAAATCAAATGTCAACCCATTTAGTATTGCCAGTCTTTGAGGCGGGAAATGCTAAGGAGAACACCCTCTTGCAAAGCCTGAGATCTGGGATTTTTCCAACAAACAAATGCTTGACATTAAAGAGAACGCCCACACAGTCATACTAAATTGAATCAGGGTTATTTGTGGGCACCCCTTTTTGTGTCACTGTTTGGGCGGCTGTTTGTAGCAATACCAAGTCTTCCCCGGAGACTGCTAACGTTGGCAGCGTCTTGGGGGGCGCATATTGAAGGAGACCTCACCAAAACGTGCCAGGGCCTCGAAACAGTCATATCAAAGCATATCAGCGGCTCTTGTGGGCATCCCCCTTCGCCAGACTGTTTGGCCTTGCTTTTTTAAAGACAGACAGAGACAGAGACGGACAGAGACAGACAGAGACAGACAGACAGACCGAGACAGACAGAGACAGACAGAGAGACAGAGACAGACAGAGACAGACACGGACAGACACAGACAGGCAGACAGGCAGACAGAGACAGCGACAGCGACAGAGACAGACAGAGACAGACAGAGACAGACAGAGACAGACAGAGACAGACAGAGACAGACAGAGACAGACAGAGACAGAGACAGACAGAGACAGACAGAGACAGAGACAGACAGAGACAGACAGAGATAGAGACAGAGACAGAGACAGAGACAGACAGAGATAGACAGAGACAGAGACAGAGACAGAGACAGACAGACAGGCAGACAGACAGCGACAGCGACAGCGACAGAGACACACAGACGGTTTGGAATTTGTGGCTTTTTCGTGGGTTTATGTGGTTTTTGGTGGCTTGTCATTGCGCATCCTTTGCATTCACAGTTCCTCTCTGGCAGGTGGCTTTCTGGCTGTTGCGGGTTTTATTGGGTTTATTCAGCTTTTGCAACTTTTGGCTTCTCGCATCCTTTGCATTTGTAAATTCGTAGATTTCGTGAGAAAATGCTGTAGAATACGCATTTTTTCTAACCAAGACGAAAAACAAAAAGCATTTTCAATTATAAAACAAACATCCACAATTAAATCTCTCCTAGGAAACCCCGGAAGGGTGACGGCTTTCCTACATAACCCAAAGAAGCCATGGCTTCAGCCGTGGTTTCATTTCGTGCGATTCGTGCGAAGGGGATCTCGCAGCCATCAGTGGGTGTTTTTCCACATCAGAAGAAGAGCCAGGGGTCCCCCTCCCCCCCTCCCCCCCCTCCCTCCCTTGGAAGGCCTCAAAGCAGCGGCGCCAGGAGAAGCGGAGCCCCGAGGCCTCGCCATTGCCGGTTCCGGCGCCGGCGGAAGCGGGCGCGGAAGCGGCGGAGTGAGAGCTCGGGGCGGGGAGCGAGGAAAAGCCGCGCCGCCGTAGCCGGGGCGGAGGAGAAACACGCTCTTCCCTTACGTGCTGCTAGCTTCTTTGTACAGGGGGATCAGATCATGGGGGAATCAGATCATCAGGTCATGGGGGAATCATGGGAATCAGCACGTGGGTTTACAGGGGGAAGCAGATCATGTTGTCTCGTCCATTATTGAACCACTGCATGTGGGTTGCCCCGGAAAGATCTGAGATCCTTGCGATGGGTTTCTTGGGTGGCGCAGTATTTCGTCCCGGGGAAACACCTGTGGGGTTTCCTGGGTTGGACCACTCTCCTTTTCGGCGGCCAAGCCGAAAAGAACCTCTGGCCATTTTTTAGGCTCCCCAAGACCCCATGTAAGAATAGTTAAGATGTGAAGCGTGGAAGTGAAGAGAGTATCATGTAGGAAAAACAAAGGTTGAAAGCCACCAAACTTCAGCTTCCCCCGAATTGGTGGTCCGGATTGGTGGTTTCGGCTAAGAACTTCAACTCCAAATCCACTCCACCAATCCAAACCACCAAGTCAGGGTTGGCTGACTCGAAGGATTTGTGTGTTTCACGATGCTAATACCTGAAATAAGACCATGATCCTGGCAGGATCTGAGGGACCTTCTGACCTTCATCCTGTTTTGCCCCAAGTTGGCATCACTAGGATCCCCCCCCCCCATTCCACCCACCCACCCCACTCCCCTTAAAAGTTCCACAAAACAAAACAAACAACTTCCCCCTTCCCCCCCCTTCCTCCTTCCCCCTTCCCCCCCCCCAAACCACCCCACCCACCCCCTCCCCTCGCCAAAAAAAACTGGTTCCACAAAATGAGGCCTTAATTCAACCGAATCCAAGGTTCTGCCCGCCTCCGTGGCCGAGAGCCTGAACGAGCCGCGGCCTCGGGCGCGTTCATCGTCTTGGGATCGCAATGCGGGAGACGCGGCGCGGGGTCCGTGAGAAACGGAAGGAGCCCGGGGGAAAAACGAAAATCCACGGGGGGGGGGGGGGTCCAATTATTTTCGGGAGTTCCCCGACACGAGGGTGCTTCGCAACCCGGCGAACATTCAGGGGGGTCCGAGCCTCAAAAAGGATGGTTTTCCCTTTGGCTTTTTTTGAACCCCAGCCAAACCAAAAAGGGGGGGTTGAGAGTGGGTTGAGCCTCAAAACAGACTCACCCAACTGGAGTTCGGAGAAAAGCCCCGGGCTTTGAAACCACAGAAATGGGGTAATTGCCGCGCCTTCAAACAAAAGCAACAAAAACATTTGGAGTTCGGAAAACCCGCCTTTGGAGGGAAAGGCCAAGAAGAATTCCCCTTGGCACAGTTTGCACCCGGCAGTGCAAACTCGCTCCCTGAGCGGGGCCACGGAAGTGGGTGCAAGCTATGGCTTAAGTGTGGGACAGAAAATTTGGGCTTAAGTGTGGCGATTCCCCATGGTTTCCTAACTTACCTGCCCCCGAGCGTTAAGTCTCCAGAGACTTTCTCCTCTGTTTCTCCGAAGCTGCAAGGGTGGCGCCTTTTTCGTCTTCTGCTTTCCGGAAATCACATGACCTGACCAGATAAGTTGAAGAAGGGGTAGGTGTCAAAATTGGACATCCAGTTTGGCGGTGCTCCTCCTGGCTTCCGTGAAGCCAACTTCAAGAAAGGGTATCCTCAAAGGAAAGCAGACACACCGACAGGGCAGCGGAAGGTCGGAAGGTTGGTGTCGTGTTGGTTGCGCCTCAGGTCTGAAGACGCGTGGCTCCCCCAGATCCGCGGCCTGGACGTGGCTTCCGCCCGAGTGAGGCCGACACCTGGGGGCTGGCGCAAGGTGCCACGTAGGTCCTTCACTTGGATCCCACAAAATGAAGGCAGATGTCTTAACCGCTCCGAAAAGGAGACCCTTCTGGGGCTGGGTCTTGATTTTTCCCAAGCTGTCCAGCCCCTTGGCGCCCAGGCGGCTTTGTCTTGGGATGTTTTGGGTTGTTGTTGTTTTTATTTGGGGGGGAGGGGCTGGGGCGGGGCCTGGGTTCGCAGAATGCGGCTGGGTGATCTGGATGGTTCGCTTGAGCTGGGCTGGTGGAATCGGTAAAATCCGTGCATTTGGCTTTCATGGCCAGCCCGGCCCAAGTCTCTAACCCACATGTAAGAAGCAATCCTTTTCACAGTTGTCGGGAAGTTCTCTACCCTGTTGTTGAAATGTTTTTAGATTTGTTTGGTCCTCTTCCTTTCTAGCAAGCGGCTGCAAAAAAAAAAAAACAAGGTTGTGTACTACCGTTTTCTACCATACCAAGGCTTTTGGGTAGCTCTATGAAGCCACCTCCGGGGTCGATATGTCGGAGGTTCGGAGATCTCTCCGGCACCGGCCTCACCAAACCGCGGCTCAGAGGGACCCAAGCCGATTCCGCGAAGCCGAGTCGACGCCATGGTGCGGCTTCTCCTTCTAACGCTGCTGCTACCCGACAGCGGTGGTAAAAAATCGGGGGGTCTGAGCAAAAAGGAAGAACTCACCCATGGTTTTGGGGTATGGAATGATCTTGCTTGGGGAAAAATGACCTCATAGAAGGATCTTGCTTGGGGGACATTTTCAGAGGCTGTGGTCCAATTTGGTGGTTTTTCTTCATTTTTTTCCCCAATGCTACGCTGTCGAGTCCCCAGCCAACCTGAAAGGTGACCTTTTTGCAAAGGCTTCGGGTGCGGCCAAAAAATGAAGAACTTGTCATGACTGTCAAGCCCCGGGCGGGGATGGAGAGGTTGAAGAGGTGCCCGGTGTTTGGCTCTTCGGAGCCAAGCCAACGATTTGGGGGACATTTCTGATGAAGTGGGACTGACCGAAAGCGGGCCGGGAGTTTCCTAAGGACAAAGAAAGGTAAACCAAAGAAAGCAAAAACCATGTTGAGCCTTGTAAGGTGCATCATCCGGAGGGAGGGTGCCCGTTTCCAGGCATTCTTCGGGCCGTTTTCCGTTGCCGTGCATTTTTGCGTCGGGCTGATTTTGGCTGGGTAAGACGTGCACGGTCCTTGCGGGGAATCCTGGCAACTGGTTTTTTGATAGATGTCCCTTGAATCCGTTAGGTGTTCTTTGGTTTCTTTGAAGAGAACTGGAGGTGCGGCTTAGAGGTGAGTACGGCGGAACAAGTGAGTCTATAGTGCGTCTATGCTCCATCCAGGCTTGCTCGCCTTTTCTTCTCCTGGGGTTGCTTTACATCCCAAAAGGGGCGCGCTGAAAGCTGTCTTGAGGCTCGGCGCGGCCGCCCAAAACGTTGCCGGAGATGCGAACGCGGTGAGTGGAGTTGGTGCTGCGGCCAATGAGCCCTTGACCACTGCGGTGAACGGCGTGACCGATGCGATGAACGGCGTGACTGCCGCGGCCAATGAGCAGGTGAACGGTGTGACCAATGCGATGAACGGCGCGGGTGCTACGGCCAATGAGCAAGTGAACGGCGTGACCGATGCTCGGCCAAAGACCGGGGGATCCCCTTGAAATGGACATATAGGGTCTTCCAAAGTTTTTTGGGAGGGTGATGCACACAACCCAGCAACAGCATGGCAACCACCTGGTGTGCCTGATTCTCAGACATCCCAGAATGTATGTCGGGGATCTTGGTTGTGTTGTGCTGTTCATCTTCCAGTGCTTGTCTGTATGCAAGCCCTACGTGTCTTAGCCCTTTTTTCTTTGGCGGGCGGGGTTCGGGGGCGGGGTGGAGTTGGCTGCGCAAAGAACGTTCAAGCGGATCGACTGATTTTGGTCCCCAAATGCGCGTCAGGACTTGGTTGTGGCGCTGTGGTCTTGTTGGGTCGGGTCCAACATGAAGGCTCCCAAAACTACCAGTGGCTTGTTGCCTTCGGACGAGGTTCCGCTGAAATGCGGGGGCCGGGGTGAAACCCTTTCCCTCGAAACCCGTGAAGCTTAGGGCGCGATCTCCACCGGCCTCAACAACGGCGCCACCGCCGTGACGGACGCGGCCAACGCGGTGGCCGACACCGCAGCCAACCAGGCGCCGAAGTGGCGTGGGTCACCAGAGCCACTGAGGGGAATGAGGGGTCTCCTCCATGTTTTTTTTTTTTTTTGGGGGGGGGGGGGGTGTCTAAAGATCACATAGCATAGCATATGTCTTTGTGCCCCAGGGGTCTTTTTTCTATTGTTGACCCTGGATGAACAACCTCCCTGTTTATTAATATGGGGGGGGTGTTCCCCTCCAAAAGTGATAAATCCCCACTAAAACCAGGGACACCCCCATATTAATAAACAGGGGTGTATTAATCCGGGGTCATCATTATTCATTTTTAAAGGTAGGCTAAAGATGAGTAGCACATGTCTTTGTGCCCAGATTCTGGCCAAGGAATAAAAGCATGGCTATGGAGGTTCCTCAAAATGGATGTCGGGCTCTTTTTGGATCCCTAACCACACATTTTTAGTGGTACCCTATTTTGAGAAACGCCCGTATGGGAGGATTCCGCTGACAAGCCCCTAGACTTAGTGTGAAGGTAACCAGTTCCAGCCCTGCTTCCTTTACATCGCCGTCAGCTGAATGTTGCAATGGAAGATGTCAAGCTTGTTACCGCCCCTAGCTGGATTCACGGCTGGACACGCCCAAAACGGATGTTTCAACAAATCCCAGGTCGACGGTCGAACGTTGACCAAGGCTAAGGCGGTGGCTTCGGGGAAGGCACTTGTGGAAGTTCATGTGGGCGCACGGGTAGCCACCTTATGGGGTGGGTCACGGGATTTTTACTCAGCCCGCTCAGGTGACACCCCTCACGGTGAGAAACACGTAAACGTGGTATTTGAGGACATTTTTGAGTCCCTGGAAGGTTTTGAGCAAACGCCCTCAATTTGGAAGGGCGCACATCTTTGCACGCATCAACGGGAAATGCCACAGCTTCCATTTGTTCTTTTGGCCCTGAGTGGCTAGGCAATGACACCTAAGAGAAGGTACAGCTTCAAACAGGCGTGACAAGTCGACCAACATCGAGGCAGATTGAGAGTAGTTGGAAGCTTTTATACCCGCAAATGGCCTCAAACACGACACACTCGGCAAAGAACATTTCCCAGGCCGGCGCCGCCTACAACGCCGTGGCCAAGGCAGCACAGGATCGAGGGACACCCCACTAAACCCACAAATGAACACCCACAGCGGTTCAATGTCCCAAGCCACCAAATCAAAGTGATCAACTGGCCATCCCGACCCCTGAATATATATATATATGTATGGAGGCGTCCACACCCTTTAAGGAGCCTCGCTTTATACATTTCCTGCGGCCTGCCTTGGTGGACAGGTCCATTCCAGTGGGAGTGGATAGGCAGTCTTTTCGGTGCATACCCAATCCAGTGCATTTTCAGATATGGGCTATGGAAATATGAGGTTCTGTACTGTTGTCAGGCGCACATACTGCCTTACAAGCCAAGAAACCCTGGAACGATTTGATTCCCGGTGTTTCCTCCAGCAAACAAAGGGGTCCCATGGTTCCTTAGGTGGTGCGAAATGGATTTCGCAACCATCCACGTATGTCCTCAAAATGCCATGTGACATCATGTGACTACGCCTGCGAGGACGGCAAGGAAGGCGTCGCCGCGGCCGCGGCCGCGGCGGGCGCGGGCGCCACCGCCGATGATGATGAGGAGGCGGAGGTGGAGGCGCCAGCTTCGCAACCTCGGGGCGGCGGGGCAGAAGATTCGAAGCGCCCCTTTACATCTCCCCTATGAAGTGGGTGAGGTTGACCAACGGCTCAGGTCAGCATTTTGTTGGACTGTTATTGGGCCTTAGAAGACGGGTCGAGCAACAGATACCGTCATTTTGTCTCTGCTGGCCTGTTGCTGTTCAACATCGTGTAATTCCTCTCTTACCTAACTTTGAAAGACAAGATGATGCACCAGTCTCAAATGACAGATAAATGAACAGCCAAAATGCGTTTGCGTTTAGTTGTGTTTTTTCTTTTTTTCTTCTTTAATCTTTCTTTCCTTTCACCACCACTCAAGAGTGAGGCTGTGAGCTAAGGGAATGTGTGGATGGAAGGAATATGACGTACTTCTCTGTCGATTCTTGATTGTCTTCTCCAAATTGCAGGTTCACAAGTTTGGACAATACCAGCAAACCGCAGGTTTTGGTCCTTGTTTCCATTTACCAGGGTTCCAATTTGGACACCTTTTTTGACCCCCAGCCACATCGTCTTACAAAACCGCCTTGCATGGCACATTTTTCTCCCGCACCAAAACCCTCCCTACCCCCCGGCTCTAAGCGCAGGGTGGATGGCCAGCGCGCGCGCAGTTCTTCTAAGATCTGCATCCTTGCAAAGCAGAGGCTGTTTGGATGTCTCCTTCTGCTCTTCCATCTGCTGAAATGAACATTTTGTGTTTTTGCCCGGTTTTAAGGGGACCCTATCACTGCACCATACTGCACCCTTTCTTTCTTTCTTTTTTTTTTTTTTGGGGGGGGGGGGGGGTAAATATATATATATATATATGTATATATATATATATATATATTGTTTTTTCTCCCCTGGGACGAAACACATACAGAAAGGGAGGCACTGGACTGCTGTTCCTGCTGTACCCCCCCATTCCCTTGGGAAGCTGGCCCAACCTCCCGGACCATAGGTGGATCTCGGTGGTCTAGCTGGCCAACCCGCAGGAAACTAGGCGGTCTCTCAAACGAGAACCCAGTGAAGCGAATGGGCTAGGTCTTTCCAGTGCCCTTCTACCTGTTTTTGGGGGAGGGTTCCCTATTAACATAGACTACAGGAAAAAAGTTGGTACCCTTGCAACCTCAAACTACTGGAGGACCTACTGTGCATGGACGAAATCCA